GTATTCAGAACAAATTTGTGAGATTTATGTATTTAAAACAGTATGGTGTGTACCCGGGTTATCCACTTTTGTACCCTACTTTATTTATACTAGGCATGATAGGCTATTATAAACTAGAAAGAAGAGGGGAAGTTGCTCTCGCCACTTACTAAAAGTGATCCGTAGTAAAATACATAACCCAGATATTTTACAGATAGCTGAGCTGTGTGTCCCTAATGAGTACGTAGGAAGACGACGGCGGCCGCCGCTCTTTATGGTGCCGCAGGCGCGCACCGACTTGCTACAACACGCGCCTTTGACGCGCGCGCTGCGTGCACTTAATGTGGTCTCACAACATACTGATTTGCTCAACTGTACTCTGAACGAATTCACAAAGGCCGCTTATTGTAAAATTTCTTTAAGTTGCGCATAATATATCTATTTATGTTTGTCTTTCTTAGTTTGTAACTGCACTATTGTATTAGGTAATACACGTGTGATGATAGTTGTAAGTGGTAAAAATAAATAAATAAATAAACGTACAACGCACGCACCCTGAGGACTGACGAGAAGATCGTGGAGCTAGAAGAAGAGATAGACAAGTTACGCTGGCATATTATAGGATTATCCGAAATCCGAAGAGAGGGGGAGGACATGGTAATCCTCGAATCCGGCAACTTGCTCTATCACCGGGAGGGCGACCATCTGTCCCAAGGAGGTGTCGGATTTATCGTCCACAAGTCTCTCGTTAACAACGTTGTAAAGATCGGGAGTGTGTCGACGACGGTTACGTACCTTATACTCAGCATCACCAAACGGTATTCGCTGAAGGTCATACAGGTTTACGCACCAACCTCGGCACACCCCGATGAGGAGGTGGAGGAAATGTATGAGGATATCTCTAGAGCCATGCATTCCTCCAAAACCCAATATACGGTGTTAATGGGAGACTTCAATGCAAAACTAGGCACAAGAGAGAACGGTGAATTGAAAGTAGGGAAATTTGGAATAGGGCAACAGAACCCAAGGGGCCAGCAGCTAGCCGACTTCATGGAGTAATAGGGACTCTTTATGATGAACTCTTTCTTCCAGAAGCGGCCCCATAGGAAGTGGACCTGGTTGAGCCCCGACGGTTCCACAAAAAATGAGATTGACTTCATTATGACGACCAGACGACAACTGTTCCGTGATGTCTCCGTGATCGCGAGGGTGAAAACTGGTAGCGATCACCGAATGGTTACGGGCACACTGAACCTAAACGTTAAGTTGGAGAGGTCTCGTCTAATGAAGTCAACGCTCCGTCCCCCTCGTGCTCTGTTACAGAGTCCCGAAAGCTTTCGGGAACTGGAACAGAGCACTTATAAGACTGCAATGAAGTGGACGATATGAATGACAAGCTCGTGGAAACTGTCCATGCGGTCAGAGCTAAGTTCTGCAAGACCCGCCGCAGAAGAACACAAAAACTCTCCGATCACACTCTTAATCTCATGGCTGTTAGACGGGAGATGAAGCTACATTCTTCAACAGATTTGACAGCATACAGGCAACTGAACAGACAGATCTCCAAATGCATGCGGCGGGAATTACGCAACTTCAATACAGCTTGTATTGAAGAAGCGATCGAGCGGAACCAAGGCTCCAAAGTCTTTGCCAGAGATCTGCCTACCAGAAAGAGCCAATTGTCAAAGCTGAGGACCGAGTGTGGCAGCATCGTTTCCAGGGCACCTGAGATTTTGAGTGAGATTGAGAGGTTCTATGGGCAGCTGTACACGTCATCGTTGGAGCCACACGCTAGTGTGAGTAACGATCCAAGAGCGAGTCTTATCCGACACTATTCCGAAGATATCCCGGACGTCAATCTGAGCGAGATTAGAATGGCTCTCCAGCATCTTAAAAACGGCAAGAATTACAGCGGAGCTTCTGAAAGCGGGTGGAAAACCGGTACTGGAAGTCCTTCAGAGGCTCTTTAATTCCGTCCTCCATGGTGGCATTACACCGGTGGCGTGGAGCAGAAGTGCGGTGGTCTTGTTCTTCAAGAAAGGTGACAATGCTCTCTTGAAGAACTACAGACTGATTTCCCTTCTGAGCCGCGTCTACGTGCTGTTTTCGAGAGTCATTAAGAATCGTCTTGCACGCAGACTTGACGACTTCCAGCCTCCCGAACAAGCCGATTTCCAAAAGGACTTTAGCACCATAGACCACATACATACCCTTCGGCAAGTTGTACAGAAGTCCGAGGAGTACAATTTGCCACTATGCCTGGCGTATGTGGACTATGAGAAAGCCTTTGATTCCGTTGAAATTTGGGCGGTTCTGCAGTTCCTTCAGCGGTGCCAAGTCGACTGTCGGTATATCGAAGTGCTGAAGTGCTTGTACAGTAGGGCTACGATGGCTATCCGAGTACAGAACCAGAATACGAAACCTATCCAATTGCAGAGAGGTGTATGACAGAGTGACGTTATATCCCCGAAACTCTTCACCGCTGCATTGGAAGAGGTTTTCAAGCTTCTGGACTGGAAAGGATACGGTATTAATATCAATAGCGAGTACATCACTCACCTTCGATTTGCCGACGATATAGTCCTTATGGCAGAATCGCTGGAGGACTTAATCACTATGCTCAATGACCTCAATAGTGTCTCCCATCGGATAGGTCTTAAGATGAACATGGACAAAACAAAAATTATGTTTAATGTCCATGTCACACCTATGCCGGTAGTTGTTGGGAGCACTAAGCTCGAAGTTGTTGTCGAGTATGTTTACCTGGGACAAATAGTCCGACTAGGTAAGTCCAACTTCGACCGAGAGGTCAATCGACGAATTCTACTCGGCTGGGCAGCGTTCGGGAAGCTACGACACATCTTCTCGTCAGACATACCTCAAAACCTTAAAACGAAATTGTACAACCAGTGCGTGTTGCCAGTGATGACTTACGGATTTGAGATGTGGTCCTTCACTGCTGGCCGTATGAGGAAGCTCAAGGTCGCTCAGCGAGCTATGGAGAGGGCTATGCTCGGAGTTTCTTTGCGTGATAAACTTAGGAATGAGGATATTCGCAGTAGAACCAGAGTAACCGACATAGCCCAACGGATTAGTAAGCTGAAGTGGCAGTGGGCCGGCCATATAGCTCGAAGAACCGACAACCGATGGGGAAGAAAGGTTCTTGAGTGACAGCCTCGTACCGGTAGGCGAAGTGTAGGGCGACCCCCCCCCCCCCCCCACGAGATGGAGTGACGACCTGGTAAGACATGCAGGAAGTCGATGGATGCAGGTAGCTCAGGACCGTGCTTTGTGGCATTTCTTGGGGGAGGCCTATATTCAGCAGTGGACTTATGAAAGGCTTTAATGATGATAATCAGTGTAAATAGATAAAAAATATCCAAGAAATCTAATTAACTGCAAATATTCATAATACTATCAATTCATTCTCGATACTTATTTGATATACGTTTGGATTTTATAGCATAAATACAATAACGAAGTGAGTCCTAAGTTTGTATTACGTTTTTGATGTAACTGCAAAGCCATAAAAACATAAAGCTTGAGTTGAGTAGGTAACACAGTCGCTTTGCCTTTATACTGTTGTAGCACGCATAGCTCGTCGATTTATTATTACTCGGACTGGTAGGCCCACTCGTATGCCGAGATACATTGATGCCGCGTAAAATCGATTAACATCGTCATATAAAGTACACGAACATCGTCATATAAAGTACGCGCTAGTTGGCGCTGTAGGTGGAGACAGTAATTCACTATTTTAAAACAATTATATAAATCAGTAGTCAAATAGTCTGTGGACGTTTTTGTTGTCACTAGCTACGTTACGTTTCGTTTCCGTTTCTTAAAAGTCAAGTAACGAGAGCATTTATGCATAAATTGTTCTTTTTTATATAATTCACAAACGAACTCACAGTCAGTATGCTATGATGCTATGCAGTATGTAAATGGCTACTGCAGCCGATGGATACCTGCAATCAACCTTAGATAAAGAAGGTTACAAATACGTTGTCACCGCCGAGGACTGAGATGGAAATAAAATGAATGTCTGCCTCTAAGGCCGGCCACATACATACGGAATTCCGTTTCGAGATTCCCTTTCGATATTCCGATTCGGAATCCCGAACGCAGCAAGTCCATATAAAATCTATGACCCGCCACACACGTACGTTATTTTTCCGTACGTAATTTCTCCGATTCGGGATTCCGTATGACCGCCTGTGCGTTCGGGATCCCGAACGGAAAAAAGCCGCTCCGAACGCACGTCTTCCATAGATTTTGTACGAGTCGCAACACACATACGTAAATTCCGTACGGAATGCGCTCAGTGTTCGTCGCACGACCGAAGCGAGTAGGTGTATTTACGTATGTTTTTACATTTAATCTTGTAGGTGTATATCTTTTCGTAACCTTTCATCTTATTTAATTTAATAATTCGTCGATAGAATTTACATACATAAATATTAAAAAAAATATCTCTGGATAGATAGATCTTTTTATATAGTATTGACTATATTGCAAGCTTAGGGTGATAAGGGGATGCAACTAGTAAGAATGATACAGCAACAATGGAATTTGCAATTAGAAAATCGTCGTCATTATTCGCTGGCAGAATGTCTAGACTCAATGGCTAACTTCTCTCAACTGACCCTTGTTATTCCGAACGGAAAAAAACGTGTGTGTGTGATGTATTCACGGAATCCCGAATCGGGATTCCGAAACGGAATTCCGTATGTATATGGCCGGCCTAAATAGAGATACTGGCTAAAACGTAGTGATTATATACTCTTTGGTACTTTTCCTTCGGGGCATCGGACCATTACAAACTACTCTAACTTTTGTCTATGTTTTAGTCTATAATCTATGCATAGTGATAGCATGATTGATTTTGTCAATGATTCGTCGCTGAAACTGAAAACCAGCTGTTTGTTGCACCGTCTGCATTGCGCCTGCCTGAACTGAATGCATTTATAAAAAAAGCTAACCCAAACCCATCCCATTTCAGACTGCGCCCCTTCGTCAACATGACGTCCGTCGTAGATGAAAGGTCTGTGAACCTAAAATTGCAATATTAGTATGTATTGCTTTGTATCTTTTACATGTGTGATTGTGTTTTAGGGTATCTGATGAAGTGGAAGTCTTGGAAGCTATTTTAATGAACGATGTAATCATTGAACGAGAAGGCAATAAGCCTACTATAATCGAAACAGTCGTTCATCCATTAACTGGAGATGATACAGATCAGCAATATGTATGTGTTACTTTAGAAGTTAAATTGACTCCAGATTATCCAGACAGTAGTCCTGAAGTGACCTTAAGGAATCCCAGGGGCTTGGACGACCAGCTGCTGTCCATGATTAATTCACAAATTAAGGAAAAATTGGCAGAATGTCTAGGGCAGCCTGTAGTTTTTGAACTTATAGAGGTGAGTACCTGATTATTTATTATTCTTTATGTTTATTATTTATATTATAATATTAATTTTAATTAAAGTACAATTGAGTGTGGTTCCTAAAGTTTATACTGGATTATTTATTATTATTTATATTTACTTTAAATAAAGTACAATTGAGTGTGATTCCTAAAGTTTATTGACAATTAAAAATGTAGGTCCTAATGTGCTCCTGCTATAAGTTTAACTAAATCTGAGATTAAAAAAACACTTGCAAATGTTAAACAATACCTACCTTAACACTATATACATAGTTCAAATAAATGGTACTATTTATTTTGTGTAGTATTAACAAGCATTTGCTTTTTGTTACTTCTTTTTATAGAATGAAAGGTGATAAATCAGCATACAGTCTACCTGATTATAGGTAGAAGCCGTGACTCATGGACACCTTCACTAAAAATCAAAAATCAGATGCATTGTCACCCCTGAAGACAGATTAGGCCTGGTGACCATTAATACAGAGCCGAATTGTGCTGTTATTTCATGATTGTATTCTGTGCGAGCATGTGATGATGACATGAGACAGTTAGATTAGTCTATTTCAGTTATTATCATAGTATAATGTCTTATGGAATTTTGCTATAAGAAAATTTGGCTGATTTAGAAACTATATTTTTTGCAGAAGAGGGCTATAAGAGCTATTTACAACCTAAAACCGAGAGTCTCTCAAAGAAAAAATTAAAGAAATAAATATATTAACTTTGTTCTCTCAGTATATTTACATTAGTTTAATCTTTATTCATAAAAATAAAAGTATATTTATTAAAAAGAAGTGATATACACTGTAAATACCAGGAACAAACACAAGCTAGTGATACCAGTTTCCACACTACAGTGTCAGTAATTCATTCATGGGGCAATATATGTGCTATTACAAAAAAGTCTCAGAAAATATATAAGGTCTATTTTTCTATCAATTCGTTTAAATATTTAATTAAACACAAATTGTATAAACAGGGTTATTATAATAGGAAGGAATACATTATTGATAATAATCCCTGAGAATGTGGTGGTCGCTTACAAGCGATTTTTTAAATAAGTTTTGTAAGTAGTTTATACAACCAGTGTTCTTATTATATAATTTTTTTTTTTAATAAAAAGATCCCGATGCGTTTCTTGCTAGGTCTTCCTAGAATAGAGGTTTCTTTTCTGAACTAGTGGTTATTATTATTATTAATAATAATAAATCTTTATTTCGGATAACAAATGAGATCCATATCAGAGCTATTAGAAAATATTGCAATTGAATTTTACAAAGTAGTGTTTCCACCGAAAAAAAGTTGAGCGGAGCGGACCAAACGAGTAACATGTGTCCGCTGCGTCTCGGTCTCGCCGACAAGTTTGAAACGGACTCGCTCGACGCTGCTGTTTTAAAATTTAAATTTTAAAATGTCGGCCTTTACAAATGATAAAAGTTCTTGAAATTGTTCTCTGCTAACCCTGTAATAGTTCTTAAATTTTTCGTCGTCCAAATTATTGAATAGCCTATATTCCCCTTTGAAAGTTCTTTCTCGAGTATTTCCGACATTACAAAAATCTCCGTTTTGCTCGTTTTTTTATGTGGTTAAGATATCATAATATATACTTTTTCTTTTGGTATACATAATCACTGTCCTCACTTGATTCCGTGTCACTCGATAACATCGCGAATTCACACAACAAAACACTACCGTACGTAATCTGTTCAAAACTCCAACTGAACTCGCTCTCGGTGGAAATTGACTATTTAGGTATTTGCCATTTCTCATATTCCGTTCAGCTCGTTCCGCTGATTCCTCTGTCGTTATCCGTTTGCAGTGGAAATCAACAGGCAAAACTCTTTGTTGGTGGGAATGCAAACCTATTTTGTTTAAAAGGAATCCGTTCCGTAGGCGTATTAAATGGTAAGCGGTAGGTGTATTACATAGGTATCTTGCAGAAGGCTAGCGATAGCAAAATTAGAACAATAATTGCTGATAAATCACAGATACGTATTTTTCGACCAGTGATAACCAAGCCCTAGCTAACTAGCGACTACAAGGCAGCGCTGTCGCTAGTTACCTTGGTTATCGCTGATACATAATACGAATCTGCGATTTATCAGCAATTATTGCTCAAATTTCGCTATTGCTAGCCTTCTGCAATATACCTATGTAATACACCTACCGCTTACCATTTCCCACTCATTACCCTTCCGCGGTGGAAACCGGGAGGATGCCTCGTTTAGAGGCATAATAATGGATTTCTGCAAAGTACCGCCTGGTTATATTAATTAATGTGAAAGATATCTTAGAGTCAAGTGCTATGATTTTTTTTTTAATTTTCGCCTCTCATATAGAATAATTAATGATATTGACGTAGGATTGACTGGTTTCTAATTAGCTAGAGTGTATACAGAGAGCAATAGGGCCTGGTTCTGTGGAGTGTGGTTAGCCATAAACCTGGTGGCATCATTTGTATGATAAAAGCAATTTTAAAATAATTGTTATAGTATAATAAAATGTTCTTTTTTTGTAATTGTGTCCAAATGCCCTTGGCTATTCGAACCTGATCAAAATCAATCTAGCATTTTTTTTTGTTACGACTAAATATAAACTAACCAACTGAAGAATAACATTAAGTCAAATGTTATAATGTTTCTTCTTATTATAATATTTGGCGCACAGAATGAAAGATATGATATTACAAAAAAAAAATTAAAGGAAAATCAATACGAGGGCGGCACTGAAAATTTCGGGAATCAAGGAGTGACACAACATTACTATTTAAAAATGTATTTATTGCTTTCCGAAGTATTCTCCGCGAAATTTGACACATTTTTCCATACAATGGAACCAATCATTGAAGCAACCATTCCATTCGGAAGTTGGGGTCTCCAAAATGGCTGTTTTGTAGGCGTCCACAACTTCTTCAGGTGATGAAAATCTCTGTCCACGCAATTTATTCTTTATTTTAGGGAAAGTATAGAAATCATTAGGGCTTAGGTCGGGGCTGTACGGGGGATGGTCTAATAATTCTATGTTTTCTTGCTCTAAAAACTTTTGTTCTGTGTGCGGTGTGAGAACTCGCATTGTCGTGATGGAGGATGATGCGGCGGTTGCAGTTCTCTTTACGGAGTTCAGAAATGACCTGTGGCAAACAAATGCTAGCATACCATTCTGCATTAACCGTTCTTTGTCCCTCAAGAGGAATAGTCGTAACATGGCCGGTTTTGGAGACAAACGTGGCCACCATTTTTTTTTTGCAACACTCCGTGAACGAACAATTTTTGGCTTTAACTCATTTTCGAACACCCAAACTCGTGACTGGTTTTTTGTTTCGGGTTCGTACGCGTATATCCAGGATTCGTCACCTGATACGATGTTGTATACAGCATTTGAGGATCCTGCGTGGAATCTTTCGAGAGTTCTGACGCACCAAGTAACGCGAGCCGCTTTTTTGCTCTTCATAGAACGAATGCGGTATCCATCGGGAAAACAACTTTTTTACACCTAATTGTTCATGCAAGATTATTTATATTTCACTCATGCCAATGTCTAAAGTTGCATGAATTTCGCGGTATGTCACATGTCGATCTTCCTCAATCAGCTTACGCACAGCATCAGCGTTTTCTTGGGTGACTGCAGTTTTTCGACGACCTTGACGGGGATCATCACTGAGCTTGACACGTCCACGTTGAAATTCAGCAAACCAGCGATAAATTATGGTTTTGGATGGGGCTTCATCACCAAATGCCGAAATCATCCGGTCAACACACTGTTTTTGTTTTAAACCACTTCGAAAGTCATAATAAATCATCGCTCTTGAATTTTCTCGAGTCAATTCCATTTTCTCAACGACTAAACAAGTTTGACAAAACCTTGTGACAAGACCGAGAATCTTTTTTTAAATAAATAAATGGTATTCGATTTTTAAAAGCAAGGAGTTTTCAATTAAAAATATTTTAATATGACAGGAACAGTGGAAATATTCCATTCCCGATACTTTTAGTGCAGCCTATGTACACCCTCGTCTGTCTCGTCTATTTATAAGTTCGCTTTGCGTAATTGGAAAAATATTTTGAAACAAATATGGTTCATACATACATTTAATTTACAATAATACTAAAACTAAAAAATAAAATGATCATACAGACCTACTCCCCGCGGTATATTACCAAGAATGCTAGAAGAGTTTCGTCACTAAATGGCTAAACCTAGCCTTTCAACGATACAAGAACCAGCCCTCTTGTCACCAGTAGCGATTACAAATGTTTATATGGTTCCTTTAGAAATTTGACCGCATGTGGACCCCACGGACCAATATTCCCTACAGCAAATGGTACAAATATGTAGTCAACTTTCAGTCATATTTGTGCCATTTACTTAATTCAGTCGCCTCTGATGTCGCGCTGACTAAACTACGAACCTTAAGACGCGAGGTCGCTAAAGTGTTCATGGACGTAGCATAGTGTGGGACAAGGTATTGCCACTCTCCCAAGTGACCAAAGTCCTACTGTCGGGTCTCCTGTCATCATTTCTAAATGTTCCATAAGGTTCTAAAACAGAGGAAACATTTTACAACAACAAGAGCACTTCGGATAATATATGCCATTAGGCTATTGAATCGTCAGTAGCGTAATTGCAGGGCGCGGACCGCGAACTCGAAAGGTCGTGGGTTCGAATCCGCCATTCGACTAATGTCGTGAACCATTTCTAACACAAGCTTTATTAAGTTTACCAGAAGTGGTTAAAGGGGATATTAGTAATGTTTTATAGCATTACTAGTATTAAAAAAAATATATATTTTCTTACATGAATGTTCGTGAAACCCAAACTCGTCGGCGCCACTACCTCAAGGGCGGTGATGAGATGATTTTTGACGCAAGCTTTCTCCGTTAAGATACGGGCCGAAATTTTTTTGAAATTTGATGGCAAAGCGCGTGTAAGCAGTAACTAGATTCATCAGTCGATGCTGCAACAACTAGAAAGCGAGCGTACCAATGGAATAAC